AAGTGAAAATGAGTGGGATCAAACTTAGAATAGTGATGAAAGCCAGATTATAAAATCTGGACTTTATTTTGGAGGGAATGCATCACCACTGAAATTTCTGAGCATGGAAGATACAATTAAAGCTATACTTTAAGAAAATTTTAATGTCACAAACACGTAAGAAATATTACAGCAGAGAAGAAATTATTAAAAATAAGTCAAAGCTTAGGTAAGGAGGGTTTGATTACAGCAGCAGCTGAAATAGAAAGCAATACGGTAGAGACACTACCATCTGGACTTGGCAGGAAATTGAATGTGTGAAAGAAAGAAAGTACAATGCTGTCATAAACAGGAAAAAGGAAGAGAGTTAGAGGTTGTGGTGAGACGGTGAGTTCCAGAAATTTTACGTTATATTTTTATATTATCCAATTACCTTTAGTCTAATTTTTCATACATAATAGTGCCATGCATGAGCATTCTGTATCTTTTTTCCATGTTTTGAATCACTAAATGAGCAACTCAAGAGGTATAATTACAAGTGGAGTATAGGATGAATTAATGCTCCTGCTCTGTACTTAGATAAACAATACAGAATAAAGGCACCTTTACTTTGGAAATAAGTGCCAGTATATGACAACCTTCGTACTGAAGATCAGTCAAAAAGGAATTATCTAAAACTACTATCTATAAGAGGCAATGCAGTGTAGTGGTTATCACACACACTCTGAAGCTCAAATACCTGGGTTCAAATCTAGGCTCTACCATTAGCTGTGAAAGCTTGGAAAGTTATTCAACCTGGTTTTCCTGTATAAGGGGAATAACAGCATCTACCTTATTTAGCTGTCTGCAGGATTGAATGAGTCAATACATTAGAGTACACAGAAAAGTAACTGGCATATAGTAAGCACCCAGAATTTAGTTATTACTTAATCCGGTGCAAGGCAAAGGGGAAGGAAGAGTGTACAACAAAAACCACCAGTACTAGTAATTTACAATCTATTTAGGAAGGCAAAGGGAACTTAAATGTAACAATCTGAGAACATTTTAAGTCTGATACTAATCATTAGTACAGTAAAAGATGAGAGATGGAAAATATAAAACTTATAATAACTGAATGCTTCCAAAAACAGAAAAAGGCTTCCCTAAAGTTATTGATTTTATTTTTTTGCTTGGAAAACATCAAATCAGGTAAGTTAAAGAATAAGCAGTGGGTGATTTTCCTTCAATCTTTAAATTCATCAATTCAAACGTAACTAATCTCATACTTCAGATGAGGGTGTCTACTAAAAATTAACCAAAAACCCTCACTAAATGACTCACTACAAAGAGCAATAAGAAGCAGTACTGGGAAGAGAATTTAGGAGGTCCAAAATTCTACGTCAGTGATTCTTTTAATATTTCATGATTAACACCGTTCTGGAGTTTCTGGTTTTATATTTCGGGTTTTATAATTCACAGTAAATATCTTACTCAATTTTAATACTAACATTTTACTAAAACACTTCATACTAGAAAAAAATAAAGCCAAAAATATAGCATATTCTGATAAAATAATGAAACTTTTCCTTCAAACTCTGAATATATTAAAGTGGTTGTCAAAATATCTTATATTCTGTATGGGTAAAATCTCCATGGGTAGCTGGAGCCATTTTGGCTATTTAAAATTTCAATTAAACTTTCTTCTTTCTGATCATGTGAAAGTATCTATCCCAATTCTCCTGCAAAAGGCATTAAAAAAAAGTTCTGTTCTCACCTTCCAGTCACCTAACCAAGAGATTTGAGATTTGAACTCAACATAGCACTTGTGAAAACAAGTTAAGGCATATAGTCTGTTGTGTGCTGCTGAGTCAATTCTGATTCATAGTGACCCTACAGGACAGAGTAAAACTGCCCCATAAGATTTCCTTGGCTGTAATCTTTATGGGAGCAGATCATCAGGTCTTTTCTCCCTTTGAAGCTGCTGGTGGGTTCGAACAGCCAACCTTTCCGTTAGCAGCCGAGCTCTTAACTGCTGCGCCACCAGGTAAATAGCCTACTGATGTATTCTTTTATCTTGTGCTTACAAATAATAGATGTTCAATAAATGTGTGCCAAATGAACTTAAAGAGAAAACAGATCCAAGAAAGTCTTGTTTTTCTTCACTACAACAGCTGTGCTATCTGCATCCAAACTGGGCATGTACAAAGGTTATAACCAGGGTGGGGCTGGGGGGCCTGGGGGTAGTTAAAGTGGGAAGATCACATATAGGCCCTGCAGAAGAAATGCTCATACTTTTAAAATCCTTCAGCAAAATAAATTAGTAATACACAATCATTACCAAATAAGGAAACATCTTTTCTGGATAAAGTTTTAAAATAAAGATCTTAGGAATATTTTTTATATTTTTTTCTTTTCACATTTTTATCTTTCTCCAAAGCATATTCATTGTTCTTGTCAAAACAAAATTAAGTCTGAATTGATGTCTGCATTCCACAGCACTGTTTCTGTAGGTTTTATCTTCATATCCAGCATCTTTTGAGAAACAAAATTTACAAGTAACAATTATCATAAACTAGTAAGATTTTCTGAAGAGACCATTTCTTTCATTTGTAAGAAAGCTTTAGTCCCCTAGCTTAGGGACTCTGACAATGCCATAAATTTTTCCAAATATGTATGCATATATGTATGTATGCGTATGTGTATATATATGTATTTTTAACATAGCAGAGGAGTAGCCTGGGGAAAACATTACTACGGCAGTGTTTTTTAATTTTAACATGGAGTATAAGGATCTCTACAGGACTCATAGGTGTGCTTTAGGGAAGTTCATGAACTTGAAGCATGCAAAAATTGTAACGCTATATGAAAAATGTATTTTCTTCCTGGGGAGAAAGAATACAGCTTTCATCTATTTGCCAAAGGTCTATGACCTCCTCCACCCCAAACTCAAATTAAGAACCAGTGAACAAAACAGTATCTAAACTCATGAAAACGGAGATAATGAAAATATTAAGGTATGGTTTCATTCATTTTTGTGATCTTAGTCATAAGAGTCATTTTGTTAAAGTAAAATTTTTCTGATTACCACTTTTAAATCTTTTATAAATCCCCATTCTTTAAATCCTTTTGTAGTGTTATTACAGTTTCCTAAAATTAATTTCTAGGCAATTAGGTTTCATTTAGCATAAAAAAAGTTACCTTTCTAAAACTCCAGGAACATTTCCCTGCCCTATCTGTGTTTGCCATTTGCAAGCTGACTCAATAAATTAGGGATGGTTTTTTTCCTATAGTTTGGTATTTAAAGTCAATAAGACACATGAAACAAAAAAATGTTTTTTGGCATTCTAAATGTTAATATCCCCATTTGACTATTTAAGATCTTTTCAACAAAAAAGGATACTTAATGATGTATACCCTTCTTTAGGCTACGGAAATTAGCCTACAATAAATAAAATCCAGGTGCTCCCATTACTATGAATGTAGAGGATTGTATACCACTGCACTCCACAAACTTTGCAAATACCAGCTGAGTATAACCAAGAAAGAGATGTAAAGCTGGATCCCTGCCATTGCTTAACACTGACTAATGAGGTGGTAGTAAAAGTAGAGCTCAATCCTTGCACCGCACTAAGTGTGCGTTTGGCCCTTCTCAAAGGCCTGGTCAAGCTTCAAGGTTCATGAATGAACTTCAATTCCTTCAGGTCTTGTTCCTCAGAGTAGGATTTCTTCATATCCTATATTCACATTCTGTAGCATCTGTCTTGGAAGAAGTACAACCCAAATGCTCCTTAGAAGCAAGGATAGCGAGACTACGTCTCATATACTTTGGACATGTTGTCAGGAGGAATCAGTCTTAGAGAGGACATCATGCTTGGTAAAGTAGAGGGTCAATGAAAAAGAGGAAGACCTTCAACGAGATGGATTGACAGTGGCTACAACAATGGGCTCAAGCCTAACAATGATTGTGAGTATTATGCAGGACCAGGCAGTGTTTCTTTCTGTGGTACAGGGTCACTATGAGTCGGAACTAACTCGACGGCACCTGACAATAACAACAACACAGTATTTGCTGTTAAGTCTTTGTTGTTGTGTGCCATCGAGTCAATTCTGACTCATAGCAACCCTATATGACAGAGTAGACTGTAATCTTTACGGGAGCAGACCACCAGGTCTTTTCTCCCGCGGAGCTGCTAATGGGTTCGAATCGTCAACCTTTCAGTTAGCAGCACAGTGCTTAACCACTGCGCCACCAGGGCTCCTAGGTAGTCTTTGTTGTTGTTGTTAGATACCGTCAAGTGGGTTCTGACTCATAGCAACCCTATAGGACAGAGTGGAACTGCCCCATAGGGTTTCCAAGGAGCAGCTGGTGGATTTGAACTGCTGACCTTTGGGTTAGCAGGTGAGCTCTTAACCACTGCACCACCATGGCTCCTAAGTAGTCTTAAACCAAAAAAAAACCAAACCCATTGCTGTTGAGTCGGTTCCCACTCACAGCGACCCTATAGGACAGAGTGGAATTGCACCACAGAGCTTCCAAGGAGCCCCTGGTGGACTTAGGGCACTCAAATACAACTTGATCTGACCTAGGCTTTTAAGTTTAGTGTAGTTCTCCTCTCAAATCTAAGTTATTTCAGGGTTTAAAAAATTCACATAAGAAATTCAAACAAATTAGGTGAACAAAACCCACCACTGATCAGAAAAACCAAATAAAGATCTAGAGGCAGAAAAGTCTTTTCCACTCTATGTAAGTTTCTTCTATTCATTCACTCATTCACCCATTCATTCAAACATTAAGTCCTACTGTATATCCTGCTGTGGGGATTCACATAAAACAGTCCCAATCCTTTAAGCCTGGTCTATCAGGAAGCTTTCAAATTTTTAAGGGTGATTAAAACTACATGCAGAAATTACAGTCTTAGTTGGGTCTTATTTATACAAATACAAAAATTCAATAACGAAGATAACTAGAAGCAATCCCAGCCCATCCACAGCATATGCAGTAATATTTATGCAGCAGTTGACATCAATAGCACGAAGAAAACAAAAGAGAATGGTTTTTTATTTTATCCTTTACTTAGGATATTTATCTATTGCATTTTATAATGGGTACTTCAAGCTTAAGGAAGAAAAACATACTTCGGCTTTAGTTACTCATTCTTTCACAATCTGAGCAGAGCTACAGGATGAGTCAAGGTGGACTACTAACCTGAATTGCTGTTTTCTTTATACCTAATTATGTCACACTGATAGTGTAACAAGCAGTAAAATTAGCTTTATTTTGGTTAACTGCCTAAAACTTTATTATCCAAGAGTAAGGCAACTGAAATTAAATCTAAACGATACACTATTCTTACAGCAGGCAAAAGGCATTTCCCTCCTTTATTAAGTTCTTATTTTAGGACAAATCAACTTGCACTGCTCATAAGATGCATGGAATTAAAAAAAAAAAAAAAAAGATGAGTTTTTTCCTCCTGTGTCCAACATTGATATATCAATCACCCTAGATGATCACGAACAGAGTTAAAGGTACAACTTAACACGCACAATACATTATCACAATTTTCCAGCTGAATTTTTTTTTCCAAATGGCACCTTTATAAATCAAAATTGCAAACTAAATCCAGTTGCTGGGTGATAAGGATTTTGAACTTTAAGCAATTACGAAATTAATCTGACAACTCAGCCTTATAACTCAAACATAGTAACACAAATTAGAAGTGAAAAACTCCTAATAATTCTAATTTATGATGTAGATGTATATATACATGCATGTATGTATGCACACATTATAAATCTGTAGGTTTTTTGTCACTTCTTCCAAGATTAACCAAGAGGAAGAATAGTAGTTTATTTAAAACTTATGAATCAGACACTCCTTTTTAAAAATTTCAACGGTATGTTTTTTTTGTACAAGATGCTAATATAAATGCTCTATAAAAACTGTTAATTGAGACCTAGTAAGAATAAGGTTTGTTTTGGGAACAGTATTTACCATTGCCCAAAACAGTTCAGAAAATGTTAGATCATAAAAGATACTAAGCTTGAATTACACCAGGTAACTTTGAAAAATGTTTCTCAAATATTTAAACAAGTAAATTTTTCTCCAACTGCTAAATTATTGGATGTTTTGCATTAAGAACGTCATGTCTTTCAAGTTTCCTAAAATAAGAATTCTGAGTTTACATTAAACATCTCTAAAATAGTTAATCTTTCTTTAAACAGTACTGTAGTGTGATGCATTTGTAAAATATCTAATTATCTAGATTTAGATAAAAGTAAATGAGAAACTTAAGAGGTGAAGCCCTGAACACTATTAATCCTTTGTCACTTGAAAAGCACAGACAATAGAATATTCACTAAGTAAAATGAAAGCATTACCTGGTTTCTAAGGCACATCATTAGCTATAACATCTACAGTGGGATTTATCTGATGAACTGCATTATGCTCTCAGAACATGTGCTACAACTCATATAGACAGAGGCAAGTATTCACAGGTTAATTTGTAGTCAAGAAAGGTATTTCAACTAAAAAATATGTCAAACCTCACATCTGAAATCAATTAGACATTACTGACGCAGTATTTGGAAGGGTTTCAGTACTGAAGATTTTTTATGATGACATATGATACTCAGTGCTTTAGAGGTAAACTCAGTTCTCTTTTGTTCAACAATGCTTCATTTCCAGCACATAAAGCTTGGTCTCCAGTTCCACACTCCATTGTCTGCTTTCCATTAAGCCGTACTTCGTTGGTACCACATAAAGAGATTACATTATAAAAGGCTTCTAGATCACTCGGCTCAAATGTAATAGTTGGTTTTTGTAATGCTCCAGGAGCAAGGGCACTCTCTCCAACAATTCTCAGGTTGATAAATTTGATCTTCCAAGTATTTTCCACAAACGGGCAGCGGATGAGTCCAAAAATCTGTTCAAAAATGCCCAAACAAGTGTTCCCTCTGTGGACAGTCCCGGCAACTCCAACCATAACTAGCCCATGGGGAGAAGAAGCACATTTCAGTCCATGGGAATCTAGGTTGGGGCTAAGAAAAAGAAATTCTTCTTTCACTAATGACAGCAAACGAAGGCTCACGATTTCTGCTCCATGGTAGTCTATCACATTTTGTTCTAATGTGTTGTAATAAAACTTAAGCTTGACATCATGCCAGAAGTGCTGTGGTCCCCATTCGTCTTGAGGTGGTCCCAGAAAAGGATTCTGAGAATTAAGAAGCCCAAAGAACCAGTGACAGAACTCTTCCCCTAATCGACGAAAATCAACCTTTTCAGTTTTTTTATCTTCTTTCTCCTGCTGGTTAAAATAAATAAAATAAATATAAAACAAAACCAAGGTCAACTTTTACATCCATTTTTCTACTAAGCATGTGTCAGGGCTCAATTTTAATATACTGATTACAGCAGACGAAACTGAAACTACATGTGAACTCACTGAACCCATCATGCATAGTAACATTGCTTTTTTCAGAAAGGAGAAAAATAGCTTGCAAACTTCCAAAGCTTGCAAAGCTACTAAGCTGAAAATTCAGCTTAGAAAGCAAGGTTTAAAAAAGCCTCTTAAAATATGAGCTTGAACAAATGGACAATAATGATATAATAATCTTCTGTTGACTGTGGCAGCAATTTCAAAGATGCATATATCCGTTAAAACTCATCAAATGGTACACTATGAACGGATGCAGTTTATTGCAGATAAATTATACCTCAATAAAGCTGATGATAATAAATAAGCATTCTCACTGTCTTTAAACAGACACTTCTAATGTGTTTGAAATGGGTTATTCTCTATGATTGGGATTAATTTTATATTATTTCTCCTTTTACAAAGGAAATGTTACTACAAAAATATATCTGATAAGGCTGGATCTTATTCATCTGTGTATTCCAGAGCTTAGTACCTGATTGCTTGGCACTTCCAGGGCTATTTCTGTCTATCTTCACAACAAGCCTTATGGCAGAGGCCCTTTTAAGATGTTTTCCTACTGTGAAAGCAAAGTTCTCTCATTCTAAAACCTTATTAATTTAAACTGTGCGGTTTTTGTTTTTTTTTAGTTAAAAAAATCTACAAATTATAGAGTGGTTAATTCAATCAACGTTCAAATTCAGTGGAGATACAAACAAACAGGAATAGCCAAGGTCAAGCAGAGGAAATTACTATAAGAGCATTTTTTCTAGTTAATAAAGAATCAACTGTATAAATTCTTCATGGTTTTTACTCAGAGAATATTTGCAATACCAAAGGAAGTTTTAAAAATTAGTAAGGGTTTAAAATAGCATTCTTTTAAAGTGAAAAAAATAATTACAACAAATTTAGAGTCAAAATTAAACTTATCTTGCAGTTTATCTACTCTTAAAAAAAATTCCATTATTCCTCATTTGTTGGGGATAAAAAAAAAAATTAGAAATCAGTAGAATACTGTATAAAGCAAAGTACACGGTAAGCAAAAAAGAGGAAGACCCTCAACGAGATGGACTGACACAGTGGCTGGAACAATGGGCTTAAGCATAACAACGATTTTGATGATGGCCCAGAACTGGGCAGTGTTTCATTCTGTTGTATCTGGGGTCGCTATGAGTCGGAACTGACTCGATGGCATCTAACAACAACAACAACAACCTTTACAAATCAGTAGAATATTTTACATACATTACTAAATATAAGAAAGATTTTGCTTTACTGTTTTTTCATTCTTTAGAAGAACACAAAGGAAATGACATAAAGCTTAAGTTATAAAATTCCAATAAAATATTATTAACCACGTCCCACAAGATTTAGGATTATCTGAAGCGTTTCAGAGAGAACAATGGCTAACTATAGGATGTACTTTACTTTTTGAAAGAGTTGGATGTCTTCTCTCTTTGTAACTGGCTTTGGTGCTTCTTTCAATTTCAGTTGTGATTGTTTATTCCAGTAATCTTTTGCATGCTGAATAAGATTATGTTTTTCAGTAGCTGGAGGTATAACCACCCCCTGTGTTGCCAAGTACTTAAATATTATTTCTCGGTGGACTTTTTTACGCTTCAGAAGTTCTTCTACACTTTGACTGTAGACTAATATTGCACGAATGGCATCTAAAAAGGAAATTGCAAAGATTAACAGAAAATCATGAGTCACTTGTAAATTTTTCCAAGGTCAGCATATAATATTTATAAACCCTTATTACGGAATTATTGCTTTTGCATGAGGTAATTATCATTTTTCAAAAATAGAAAGTTTTTTATTCCTTCCTACTTTAAACTTCCCTAATTCCCTCTTTCACTTCTGATAGAGATGGTGAAATTTTAGCATTTTCTTTTAAACTACTGTGTGTTTAAAAAAAAAAAAAAAAAATTGAGCCAGAAAAAATATTTTTTGTCTAATACAGCGAACAGGACCTAAATTCCAAATTCATACACAACCCCTAAAAACTGACAAACTTACAGTATTTTAGGTGTGCAAGAATATTTTTTAATCCAATCTACTCACTCTAAAGATAAAAAAACCTTGAGCTGACATGTCAATAATCACACTTGTAGAAAGTGGCAGAATCAGGGTTAGCATTCTCCCTCTAATTTTTAAAAGTCATGTATTAAACACAAGTCAAAGACTATTTTTAACATGTGTGAGATATACAGAATGACAATAAAACGAACTCCATATACCCACAGCTTACTTTAAGAACTTAAGACACAGGAAATTACTAGTATGCTGAGGCCCTGGTCCACTCCTCTCTGTGTTCTCCCCCTTCTCATCCACCTCACAGGTTGCTACTATCTTAAATGTTTTTATCAGTCACTGGCTTTTCTTTATAGTTGCACAACACAAGTATGAATCCCTAAACATTTTTGTTTAGTTTGGTATGTTTTGAATGTTTTATAAATTGAATGCATCAACATATAATCAACTTTTCACTTAGTCAACTTCTGTAATCAACTTTTCACTGAGTGTTGTTTCTCAGATTCACTATGTCAATGTATTTAGCTTTAGTTAATTCATTTTCAGTGCTGTACAATAGTTTGTTATTTGACTATACCAGAAAGTATTTATCTATTCTTCTGTTAAAGGACTTCTGTGCATTGTGTCCTATTACAGACACCATTCCTTTGAACATTCTCATACATGTCTCCCAGTGCACATAGGGGCAAGCAGCATGAGCATTACCTGGGAGCTGGTTAGAAATGCAAAGTGTCTGCTCTCATCCCAGAACTACTGAATTAGAATCTGCACTTTAACATGATCCTCAGAGTCATAGGCACATTCAAACTTACAAAGCCCAGCTCTAGGGTATATGCCTAGCTAAGCAAATCTTCAACTCTAGGAGAAAAAAAAGATTTAAAAATTGCTTTCCAATGTGGTAGATATAATTTACATTTCTCCAGCAGTTGTCAAAAAGTTGCTTCCCCTAATCACCAACACCTGAAGTTCATACTTCTACTTTTTTTGCCAATCCGATACACAGAAAAGACACCTTGTGTTTTTCCATTCCTCTTCACTGCTTTCAAAAGACATTAAGTATTTTTTCATGTGTTTATTGGTTATTTTTTCCTTTCTGAGTAATACCTCTTCAAGTCATTTAAACATTTTTAATACTGGGAAGTTTTTTTTTGTTTAATTTACATTTAGATCAACTATATCTTTCATTTTTGTGTTACAATTTTAAATTCACACTCATCAAGATTGTTAGGTGATTAGCATGTAAAATATACAAAAGCTGAAGAACTACATTAATCTACTATTTGCAGTCTAAATTCTTTAGTTCAAAGTTTCAAATGAATGATTTTTCTTAAATAGCAAAAATGTAACTCCAACTTAAAAGCAGAGAAATAATTTTAAAAGGCAGAATCTTTTGAAGGTACTTATGTGCTAATATATGAGGTCTGGAATTTTCACATTTTAAAGTAAAATTCAGCAAAGTTAAACTAGCCACGTGATATACAAAAGGAAACACACGCTTAAGTCGCTCATCACACTTATATTCGGACTAGTTCAAATTGGCGGCGCAGTGGTTAAGAGCTCGGCTCCTAACCAAAAGGTCGCAGTTCGAATATACCAGTTGCTCCCTGGTAACCCCATGGGGCGGTTCTACTCTGTCCTAGGGTCGCTACGGAATCGACTCGACGGCAACGGGTTAGTTACAATATTAATAACTTCCGGTCTCTGGCCTACTGGGATGTATGTTTGGCTCTGAAAGTAATGTATTCTTAGTACACAAAATAATCTCAGAAAATTTTTAGATCCAAAGGAGACATGGACTCAAACTGCTTGCTCTTTTCATTGTACTGGTTGTTTTGCCTAGGAGACTGATAAAAAGTATTTATAATATCCTTCCCCCAAGCTTTGAAGAACAAGACGCCTGAGCAGCAGCTGACACTCCTCAGCTGATCCAAACTGAAAAAGGAAAATCCCCTGGTTCCCTGGAAATTTTCAAAAATTACTATTCACGTAATCTAAATCCTCGAAACAACAGCGTTTGCCCATAAAATTCAAAGGATAAAACTTGGAAGCAACGCGTCGTCAGTTCCAGCCCACTCCCAGGGGCCACGGCCCGCCAGAGCAGGCTACCAGGTCCTAGGGCCAGGGGCAGAGGCAGTGCGGAGATTCTCGAAGACCTCGAGCGCATTCGGCGACAAGCTAGGGGCGAGACCTCGCAAGCACAGACCCTAAATCCCACCCCCAACCCCAGTCTCCCGCAACCTGGAATCTTTGGGGGGTCCTGGGAGGGACAGCCGTCCTAGGGGAGAAGGGTCCACCCTTACCTTGGCGGTCCTCAGGCTGCACCAGGCGGTTGGTGATGGTGTCGCACAGGGCCATGATCTCGTCGTTGTCCAAAAGGCCGAGCAGATTACGACAGCCCTCCATCTCTGGCTGGCTGAGCCCCGACATCTCGACCCCCAGGAAGGGGGGAGAGGACGACGCCAATAATATCGCCGCTCCGGCCCACCAGGGCGGCGCCTTGGCAACAGACACAGGAAGTGCCTTTCTTGATGTTCGCCTCCAAAGAGCCTCCGGTATTCCAGACTCCGGAGCGGAAGTGATCGCCAATGAGGTCACTCATGGAACACGGTGCTCTGACTTGCCGTTCCGGGCTGTCCCGCCTGGCCCTGACAGAGCGGAGTCCCACCTTTCTCACTCTGGGGAAGCGCAGCGTTTCTACAGAGAACATTGATCTTCCGCAAGGGAATTGGCTGCAGAAAGTGAATCCCTGATCTCCTCAGAAGTCCTCCAAAAGAGCGCCTTGGAGTTCTGCGGAGTGCAGGTGCAGGTGCGTGGAAAGGGGGCGGCAGTACCAGTCTACGGCGAGCTCCCGTGATGCCGCGGGGCGGACCAATGGAGGCGGGTTCCTTTCGTCCGCGAGCCCGGCCCCCGGTAGCGCTTAAGCGTCTTCTGCGGCCGCTTCTGAGTTCAGGGAGCTGTGATTTGATACTCTATTCAGTGTTAAAATAATTTGGTTCTGTTCGACATTACACTATTAAAAGTAAAAAAAAAAAGACAAAAAAAAAACCACATAGCTTATGTCACGCCTGCCCGCCTGAAACAGGCGTTCCTCTCAGACACGCTGGATCTGATGTTGCCTCGATCCTCGCCGGCTTTACCTTGGGATAGTTAGTATCGCGAGCAGTTTAAGTTTGGAAACTCCGGAGGCTAGATTGCCAAGCTTTTACAACGCTGTTTACTAACTGTGACAGCGGGCAAGCTCCTTAACCTTTTTGTTCCTCAATTTCTTATCTCGAAATGGATCCAGTAGAGACTTACCTCAGGATAGTTTGCGGGGGGCGGGGGGAGCTGTAGAATACTACCTAGCGCCTAGAAGGTGCTCAATAAATATTAGCCGTTACTATTGCTAATAGTATGACAGCCAACCCACGTTCATGAGAGGGAGATAGTCATGCTCTGCTGGACTGAGCCCGCATGCGGAATCAGACTTCCAAAAGTTTTCAGGTGTGTTATAGATTTGTTAGCATTTAATCGGGTTATTTCCATTTAGTAGCAGAAATACACACATCTGCAGATCCAGATGGAGAAATTTAACATTTTTTTTTTAATATCACAGCTAATTATCAGTCATAAGATTGAAAACATGGTTAACTTGGCAGTGGATGTCGTTTGGTGTACCATTTACTTAACGGATACCAGTTCTTCATTAAGCGTTAACGGGTGCCTCCTATGCTACAGAAGCACTGGTGGCTCAGACCCCGCCAGCCACTCTGCGGGAGAAACATGTGGCAGTTCTACTCTGTCATACAGAGTTGCCATGAGTCATGGGTTTTGGTACTAAGCTAGGTATTGAAGATTTGGAGAAATGGCACAGACCCTCCTTTATGGAGATTTGGGAGTATTGCAAGTAAACAGATGACAAAATAATGGTGGTGGTGTTATTCGGTGATGTCAGGTCAATTTCGACTCATAGTGACCCTATAGTGCATAGTAGAGCTGCCCCATAGGGTGTCCTAGGCTGTAATCTTTACAAGAGCGGACTGCCAGGTCTTTCTCGCAAGGAGTGGCTGATGGGTTGAACCACAGACATTTCAGGTAGCAGCCCAGCGCTTAACCATTGTGCTACCAGGGCTCGAAGATAATGGTAAGTACTCATATATGCTGGTGTGGGACCACATGGAAGACAAGCCCAACTTTGTCTTTCATTCATTTATTCCTTCATTAAAATATATATATATTTATTGAGCACCTACTATTTGCTAGGCACTATTCTTTGTGCTGGGGGGTCATAAAAAGACTAAGCCCTTTTGAGTTTGCATTTTAGTAGGAGAAAACAGACAATAAACAAGAAAATATATACTATGCCAGAAGATGCTATGGAGAAAAATAAATCAAGAGGAGGGAATGGAGAGGATGTTGCCATTTTATACAGGCTTCTCTGGTGACACTGAAGTAAAGATCTGATGAATAGGACAGAATGAACCAGAGGAGTGTGTTCTAGGAAACAGAAGCAGAAGAGGTCCTGAGGAAAGAGGCCAATGTGGCTGAAGCAGCTTAAGCAAAGAGGAGACAATAAGCAATGAGATTAAAGTTGCAGTCAGAACTGATGTAGACTTGGGTTACTCAGCCACAGCACTATTGACATTTTGGGCTGGATAATTCTTTGCGATGGGGGTATGTCCTATGTATCATAGGATGTTTAAGTCTCCCTGGCCTCTACCCACTAGATGCCAGTAGCCCACCTTATCCCAGGTTGTGGCGACCAAAAATATCTCCAGGCATTACCATATGACCCTGGGGGGCAAAAATCACCCTCAGTTGAGAACCACTGATAGAGAGCAGACCTGTCTAAAAGTACTTTCTGAGATGATGAAAATGTTCTATGTCTGTGCTGTCCAATATGTCCATCAACCACATATGGCTATTAAGTACTTGTAATGTGGCTAGTACAACTGAGGAACTGAATTTTGTATTTTATTTAAATTTTAATTAAATTTAAATAGCCACATGTGGCTAGTGGTTACAGTATCAAACAGTGCACATGTAATGGCCTTGTAGTCCATTCTATAGACTTCGACTTTTATGTTGTACCCGACTTCCTTTCCTGCTGTTCTCAGCCCCTCACTCCAGTGTCACCATGAGTCAGAATTGACTCAATAGTAACTATTATTTTTTCACTCCAGTCAGTCACTATTGGTCCCTTGCTGTTTGTTCCTTGAACTTGCTACGTGGGCCCCTGCCTCAGAGCCTTTGCTCTTGCTGTTCTGCCTGGCATATTTTCCCCCTTGGATATTTGAATGGCTCTCTCCCTTACTTCATTCAGCTCTTGCTCAAAAGTCAGCTTATCAAAGAGGCCTTCCCTCATTACCCTATTTAAAATCACCACCACCAATCCCACACCTACCTATACTTTCCCTACTAACTTTGCTTTATTTTTCTCCATAGCATTTATAACATACTGCATATTTGTTTGTTGCCTCTCAGTAGCTGGTACATAGTAGATATGCAATAAATATTTGTTGAATACATGAATGAGTTGTGAAGCCATTGGAGGGTTTTAAGCTGAGAAGTGACATGCTCTTTCTTCAAATAGGATCACTTTGGCTTCTAGTGTGAACACACTGAACTGTAGGTAGAAAGCCTGGTTAGGAAACTACTACAGTAGTCCAGGTGAGGGAGGATGGTGACTTGAATAATAGTGGTAGCAGTGGAGGATGTGATAAAGTCAGGGATGATTGCAAGGTTTTAGTTTGGGCAACACAAAGAAAGAAGTTGCCATATGCTCAGAGGAGGAAGACTAGGAGAAGTGGGTTTCAGGGGAAAATCAGGAGTTATCAAGAGAGTTCAGGCTTTCTAGTGAAAGTGGTGATGCCTAAGAAGGATTAAATCAAAGAATGAGGGGTGGGCTGGAAAGAGGGTAAATTACAGCTAAAGGGAGCAATAGTGAAAAATGCATGGAATAAAACAGCATGACGAAAGCTAGTGGGGTATTTAATATGTCTGGAGCCAAAGACAGGTCAAGAGCTGTAACATGAAAAGAAATTTGCAGAATCCTAACAGGAAGGGCTCAGCACCAGACTATTCACAGACTTAATTCTTACAACCTTGCAAGAACAGCTGTCGGCTTTTAACAGAAGAGGAAGCCTGAGTGCTGCAGGATATAGTTAATTGCTTAAGGCTCTACAACTGTAAAACTACCAAGCTGGAATTTGAATACCACTGATCTCCACAACTCCTTTTGCTGTTTCTATTAATATTAAATCATGTTCTGATGAAGTTTTTTTTAGGGAAGAAAATTCTCTAGATTAGAGTGGTTTGGCGTATTAGGTCTTACTAAAATATTCATTCACTCAATAGTAGTTGTTTAAGTAGCTGTTAATACAGGACCAAGCATTATGAAAAGTGCTGCAGTGAACAATGCAGATGTCATCCTTGTCCTCAAGGGGGGCAGTTCTTTAAAAGTTCTAGAAACAGATTCTGAGAAGGTTCTAGGAGTTTAAAGAGAAATAGTTCACCTTGTAGGACATAGGATAACCTTGTTGGTTTAAATCAGTGTTTTCAAACCTTAGTATCAGAATCACCTGGAAGACTTTAAGCGATTGGTCCCATTCTCTAGATTCTGGCTCAGAAGATCTGGATTGAGGCTCAAAATTGAGCAGTTCTAAGAAGTTCCCACCAGGTGATGCTGATTCTGCTGCTCTGAGGACCACACTAAGAATCCCTGCTAGTAGAAGATAACAAAACATCAACCAGGTGTGTCTACCAGGCTTCATCCTTTGTCTCTGAAATCACTGCTTCGGGGCAAGTCTGGGGCTCTCTGTTTGGACATATTGGATCCACTCATGCTCCGTATTTCTAGGGAATACTGCCAAGGCAGAATGGAAACAGTTTAAGGAGACATCTGATTTTTCAATCCCACCTCATTTTTAGCTGTGGGACTTTAGTCATTTAACCTTTCTGAGCCTTGTTGTTTAAAGTGGTGTTCTTATCTACTAGTGTTGTTTAAAAAATTAGACATAGCACATATAAAGTAGCTGACACACAGTAACTTAACAAAACAGAAGCCATTTCTTCCCCAGTATGCAGCATCCATAAATAAGGCATGAACCTATTTTAAAATTTTACTTGATGTAATATTGGATTCCCTCCATTTCAAATCATGATATATAGTGAAAACTTCTGTCCCTGTTATCAGTGGATTTTTGAAATTAGTATGAATTTTACATTACGCTATGAAAAACCAACATAACTTGGTTATCTTGTAAGCTTACTATTACTTCATCGCTTCCCAAATTTCAAGTTTCAGAAAAGGGAAATGGAGTTAACTCAAAATTTTGTCTAAATAACTCAGATTTAACGTGCTTTAGTCACTCCTTGGAAACTTTATGGGGCAGTTCTACTCTGTCCTATAGGGTCACTATGAGTCAGAAATCGACTCAACGACAGTGGGTTAGCATGCTTCAGTAACTTTCTCATAGTGCTTCTAAAAGCATAATGTTCATAATATGTGCAAGTAACTGTATTTAACCCAGTGTCTATTCATTTGCAGTGGTATTTCTTCCCATCAAAAAAAGGTCTTTCTCTATGCCAGACCCCATTTTTCCAGTTGTTGTTAGGTGCCATCAAGTAGATTTTGACTCATAGCAACCCCAAGTGACAGAGTAGAACTTGCCTATAGGGTAATGTTTACAGGAACACATCACCAGCCCTTTCTCCCATTAATCCACTGGGCGGGTTTGAACCACCAACCTTTCAGTTAGCAGCCAAGCGCTTGTAAGTCATAGCAAATAGGGTAGGAGACTTTCCTTTGTTAGTGAACCAAAGAAGTAAAAACCCTCATTTCCAAAGATATCACTGTTGGTTACAGATTCTTAAGTAACTTTAAACATTTTTCCACTGAAATGCTTTTCTAAGAAGTAATTTTCATCATCATTTGCATCCTAATGTTTCGAAGCGACTTCAAAAATATTGCTTCTTTGGTTTTGTTTTTTGTTTTGTTTTGAAATTCCACTAGAGGCTCTTCACCTATGAAGAATTACCAGATCCATCCACTGTCTTGCTCTTGGAGAGTTCGTCTACCTACTAAGTTTGCAGAGGGTACTATATCACACTGAAACCACTTACCTAAAATGATTTTAGTAACCAGAACTTCTATTTCTATTTCATATGGATGTTGAACTAATATTTTAAAAATGTCTATTTTGTATCTCAGTTTGTGTAAACATTTAGATTTTTATTTTTCTATATTATTAGGAAAAACTAAGTCAAATATGGTAAAGACACTAACTAAAATAACCCATTTCCTTATAATAAGACATAACAGAAATTTCGTATTTAATACATGCCTTGACTCAACAGCAATGGGTTTGATTTGGATTGTTTTAAATAAATCTAATTCCTTTTGAATGCAGTCTGCTACATAAAACTGAACACTTCATTACCAACAAGGACAATGTTTTATTGAACAAATCTATGTACAGTACAAAAAAATTTCTTGAAATGAAACACTATTGTTGATTTATTGCAGTTCCATGGCTCAGATTTAATTTGTACTCTTATAAAATGCAAAGTAAAATAATTTAATGTTCAACAAGAAAGCACAAATTTCCTTTCTTGCTGAATCTGTAATATCTTTCACATATTAACAATTCCAAAATGCATATGCAGCATTTAATCATTCTGAAAAGGTGTTTTACAGTACCAAATAAATTAAAAAATAAACACTATCATCTCTTTTAGCTTTTCCACCCATACAACAGTATTAAACCAAACATGAAAGGAGTACAGCTGAACCTTCAGTGTGATTTAAAAAAAAAAAAAAAATCACAAGTTTAATGTTATAAATTATCTACTCAAATTATGTAATTGGTAGTTTTTTTAAAAAAACAATATGGCTAAAGCCCAAAGTACCAGTGTCCTTGCCCACAAAGATGCCCCTTTTCTACCACCTCCATAATGTCTGAGCAGCAAAAATTCAGATTTGCTCTTTTCTTGACCTTACTAAAACATCGCAGAAAATTAATATTTAATTTTTGGAAGGAGATTTTTATTTAAAAACAAAGGTTTGAAACTTGGTCCATGTAAGATAAACGTATTCTCAAAATAGGAGTGGCAAAATAGAAAAAAGAGCAGAATGAGAGGAATAAGAAAGTTTTCTTTTCTCCTGAATCCCAAAAACTGTTAGAAGTTTATGCACCCCATGAAAGGAAAATGATTTAGGTTTATGTTTTATAAGATATACATAATATTAAAATGTACACATTCCTTCAGTAGGGATTACTTGAGGAGTATATAAATAAAAAGGTTGAAGACAATGTGGTCAAATAGAATTTTATAAACCATTCTTTGATTCAGTCATAATATAAACCAATTGAATCTCATTCTTTCAAAAACTGCTCTCTCTTAGCAATACAAAAGTAGACATAAAACCTCAAATTAATTAACTTAAAGACCAAAAAATAAAAATAACAAGTGGAGTATGTTTAAAAACATTTTAGGATGAACTGCAAAATTAATGAAAATGTTAACAATTGTGGGCATGGATTTATGTCAATGGTTACAACTTCAAAAAAAAAAAGTAAAAAATGTGATGAATTTTAACAGTTATTTTAAACTTTTGGAAAATATATAAAGCAGAAAGTATAGCTCAAGAACAACTTCATTTCCAAATGAACCAGTTTCCCAACAGGCTTTTATTACATCATATACTTTAAACTGAACTGAAACAGAACTCATTACATTTTTATATCAGGAAGTATGGAAAACTTTTTCTATAGTTGACCCTAAATAAAGGATTAAAATATCTGATTATGAGTCTTGTTTGTTATTTAAATATAAATCCCACAGCCTAATATAGGCTATATAACAAAACAAAAACAAATCGAATGTTCATTGGAATGGACTTCTGACCATCATTGCATAGTAGTGATGTCCCGTGATAAATAAACTAATAAAATTAGTAAATTTTTTTCTAGATCATCTGCTGTATGATGACCTGGAAATCCTAATTTAATAAAGTCTGGATGGTACCCTGGAAGAAATGTCCCACTTCCTCAGTAACCTGATTGAAGTAGCTTTACTATCCTAAAATTTATAATAGTAGCATCTGATGAGATTATCTGCTTTGAACAAAAATTTATCAGTTGGAATAACTGTATATATTTCGTTGACATTAGTAGCTCCAATTTTTTTTTTTTTTCTTAAGAATTTGCCTTTGCATTTTTGTTCTTTTCATCCCTGTTTTAGATTAACAAAGTATTAGGTAAAAGGAGGTCTCTTTTCAAGAATGGACAAGCAGAAAACATCTAATTTGAAAAGGTATTTTTAAAAACATTTATTGTTTCAACAATTTACTATCAATTACAATCTTCCTTAGGAAAATTACTGGTCACCAAGGGAAATAATGCAACAATACATCTCTCGTGTTTCTGCTGTGCACATTTTTCTGTAAATACTTCCTTTTATATATGAAAATTACTGCTCAGACCAAATTCATCCCTACTGAACAATAAAGCATGAGTAGTATGGCTTATTTTTTTGGAGCTAAATCTCCTAACTGAATAAAATCAATGAATTTTTTACCTGATTCTTATCTGACATAAGTTTTTTAAAAGCCAGTTATAGGACTGTGCCTGGATAACTCACATTAATGTCTAAAAGACCTTACTATGAATCATCGAGCAATGTCCTAACACTATAAATTCAAATAGAAATATCCCAGTGTGCTTATACCATTATTCACATTGAAGAATTTGCGATTCAGCGTTTTCCTTCAACTATCTAGCCTTTAATGGTCTTAGATTCTTCCCATGTCTCCCCAAAGTCACTGATGGTATGACACTGCTGCCTTTTAAATATAACTAATTTATATTACAAAAGTGGAAGGTTCTATCAATAGCTCATTAACAAAACATTGTTTTTTTTTTTTTAAATTTTGGTTTTCAATGTTGGCGTGCCATTCATTGAACTGTCTGACCTGTCTAATCAGCTGGAAACAAGTTACAATATTTAATGGGTAACATGGTGATAAATCAAGTTTTATTTTCATGTGTCAGTTTCTAAATTATAACAGAAACATAATAGCAATGGTTCCTTAAATCATGTTTGACCAGATGGGAGGACATAATCTGATTATGTTTAAAAAGAAAACAAATCCCATTTGTATAATACTTTAAGTTGTTTATCATAAACCAACCTTCTTTTTTTTACTGGTTCAACTTCCCTTTCTGTAAGGCCATAGCTGGTTTTTCTTTCTGACTAATCACCTGAACATGTTTCTCACATAAGCGAAACTGAACATGCTGCTATTAATTATCATAAACTTTTTTTAAATGTGGTTTTCTGGATAACTGGTACTTTGGGAGTTCTGGAATAACCCTTTAGGAGTCTAAACCAGCACATCTCTGCAAGTTCATTCTAGAAAATGTGCTTTGCCTTTATCTTTAGTAATCCAAGACCGTTCTAAAATTAAGGCCATCAGGGAAATAGCAAACTGACGATGCATTTTCTTGTAGTGCTTTTTTTCAAACTACTGCTTGATAGACAGATCTTTCTGAAACATTTTTATCAGGCACCTGTAAAACAGAACATGTCTGTTAATTCAAACTGTACAGACATTCAATTGGAATTCTAAGTCATATTTCTGTTTAATTTATACCTTTCCTCATTCAAAGGATATTGATATCAATAGAATGCATGCTCATCTTTCATTGAATTTTTTTTTTTTTATTGTTTTCTGCTTTTTCACTTCTGTTATAACAGAGGCTCAACTTGATTTATATTCTGGCATGCAGATGAAAATGTGTTTTCATCATTACTTTGTTTCTAGACATTTTACTACATAAAACTTGGAATGAAGAAAAGCCTTTGATACAGTGGAACAAGTGTGATCAAAGAGTATGAAAGGCCTGTGTTCAAGTTCTCACTTCTACAGTTCATAGGCCTGTTGTCTATCCAAAGTACTTAACCTTTGAGAATTTCACTCCTTGATTTATAAAACAGGAATAGTAGTATCACCTCATGGTGGTTGTATGGGTTAAAGGAAATAATTTTTAGGGCAGTGCTTTATTATCTGTGCTATACAAATGTTAATTTTTTTAACCACATAAAAGTCTACTACTGTTTTATCTATAGCATTTTCTATTTCTACAGATATACCTACTGAGAAGGTTGAAGACTTACTTTCATCATCTGAATCAAATCCAAAGAGTGTCTGACATTTCTTTTGTGCAAGGTGAGCCTCAAGTGCTTCTGCATTACAGTAGGTGGTCAGGCATTTGCCACATCTTAATCTTTTCACTGATTTTTTACAAACATTATCTTGATCAGAACAGGCATCTACTCTATCAGTCAGAAATTTTCTGCGTTTTGGCATACTAAGGTATCGTTCATCCAGGTAACTGGGAGGCAACGGTCTGACGTATGGCTTTGTTAAAATCAAGCCATATGAAGTATGTTCACTTGTCAGATTTGGTTTGGAAGGTGCCTGAGATACTGGCAGGGTACTGTGGTCTTGTGGTACAACACTGGGTAAAATGGAACCATTTTCTGTCCTGGTTCTATTTGTATCAATTTTCAAAGCAGGATCTGACGAAACTAAAGGTGTCTGTTCTATTTCAATGTGTCCATTGACTAACTGATCATTAATGGTACAATTATTTTCAGAATTTGGCTCTACATCAGGCATCTTTTGGTCTAACAAGCTTGTATCTGAAACAGCATCATCAGAATGTTCATTTCCATTCTGAACTAAATTGTCTGTTTTCCTTTCCATACTTTCTATACATGTCTTTGGTTCTGAATAATCTTTCCTTGATTTGCTAGCAGAAACTGGCAGGCTAATAGTTTGCTTCTCATTACTAGATGAGTCTTTTTCCTGATGATTAGGATTTGAGTCCGTAAGAACATCCCAAAGAATTGATTCACTTGGTTGTGTAGATGATTCTGGTGTTTTACTTAAATAGTGCTGAGCTTCATGTTCATATAGCAGAGGAAGATCTTCAAAGAGCTCATGGCATTCTGGAAAACTACACTGAGCTTGAAATATCCTGTGACTTTTTGTATGCTGAGCAAGCTGGAATGGCAGCTTAAAGGACTCACTGCAATTAAAATGCAAACAAAAGTACACATTTGGATAGCTGTGTCTATTAAGGTGATCTATAAAATGCTGAGAATCTTCAAATTGCCTTTGACAAAATTTGCATTTTCCTTTGCTCCACTTCATTACTGTCTGCCGCACATTTAAATCAGTTGGATGTACAGTCCTTGCATGTTTGTTTAGAAATCCAATTTTTTTAAAGATCCTGATACAGCCAAGAGCCGGGCACTTAAAGTTTCCTTCTTGATCGGTAGCATATATGTCTTTTGGATGGCACACAGTTCCATTGATTTTATGAAGTACTGAAGTTTCTTGATTCAGGTCATAATCATCTTCCTCATAATCGCCTTCTTCCTCCTCTTCTTCGTCGTCATCTTCGCATTCAGGTAAAGGCTCCAGAACATTATTTAAAGGAGTATCAGGACTGCCATTTTTAATAATGTTTTCAATAACATCTTCTGGAACACTTACAGGAATTTCAATGAATTCAGCCACATGCTCAGGGATGACTTCTTTGTTTCTATCAGTGGAAGCAGTAAGCGGTTCTACTTCCAAATTCTCATCAGAATTCCCATTTTCAAATGAAATGGAAGAATCAGAACAATTTATTTCTTCCAGAGCAGGGATTTCCTGATCCTCCTGTTGAGTTACAGTAATTTGCTGTCTCTGTATTTTCTTAACATGATTTTTTAAATGCTTCTGCATAAGTCCTTTGTTTCTAAATTTCCTACCACATATTACACATGAAAAACTGCCTTTTTTCTGATGAGCCTGGGCATGCCTTACAATGTGACCACCTAGAAACTCTTTGTTACATAACACACACCGATGCCTTGGGACATTGTGATCTACTTTGGAAGCATTAAGAGCTGTAAAGTTTTTCTTTGTATTAGCATGACCTTTAGATTGCACTCCAGATATATCATCAAGATTAAACTCTCCAGTGGTCTGATCTGTAAGAGAGTGAAGCCCTTCATCTAAACCTTGCCGTTTCACTGTCTTTTTTAGATCACTTGTAGGATTTTCCAGTGTACTTTCATTTAAAAATCTAACTGCCGATTTATCTCTCAATAATGCTACACAGTTTTTCTTAATCATTACAAAGTTCCAAAATTCCGGATCAAAAAACAATCCCTTTTTCAAAATTGGAAGTAATTCAAAGCGAACACGATTCTGAACGCTGCTTGTGCCTTCATTATATTCTTCATCTGGACGTTTGTAGAGCCGTTCAACAGTATGATATGCTTCCAAGGAACGTTCAAGAAAAAATATTGAGAGTGCACAAATCCTGAGAATCTCCAAATCATTTGGCAAAAAATGTGCAATTGTTTTATAAATTAGACATTTAGTTTTGGGATCATCATGAAGGTCTAGTTGTAGAGCACAACCACATATTTCAACACAAATTTGCAAGCCTTCTTCTTCAACCTGTAGAAAGAAAATTATCACTACTAAATAATTTAAATACAATAATTGGATTATCTTTTTAAAATACAACTGAAATAAAAGCTGAATAAACAGTATTCCAAATGTGCAGTGTCCTTCAGTAGGTAGCTTTGTTTAACTCCTTTTTAATATATAAATAAATCCTTTTTTTTTTTTTTACTTAAGAATAATTTGGAATAGATGGCATTGTAGTTTCTTATTTAATTAATTTTCAAGTTTTACAAACCCTACAAATATTAGTACAAAACGTTTCATAAGATCTATGGGGATCTGTTTCCTATATGCCTAGACTCCCCCATTTATTATTTTAAATACCAATCTCACATTCTCTGGCAGAAGAATTAATTTACAAGTATTTAGACACATTTCTCAATTTTCAATATTAAGAAATATCTACATTCAAAAAAGAACAGCTATGGAAACTTCATAAAGCTGTACTAAATAATATTACTTATTTTACTTGTTAAGTACTATTACTTATTACTTTATCCAAGTAAGAGGGGAAGTGTGGCCTACATGAAGAGGGCATTTACAATCTTTCCAAATCTATTAAACTGCCAGAATAATGAGCCTACTGGAAGTTACCTGAAAATTATTCAGGCTTTGAAACTTTTACTGATAACTCAAAGATAACTGCATCAACTTTTATTTGAGAATCTGTTATTTATTCGTCTTAGTTCAAAGAATAATCTAAATGCTTGTTTAAATGAGAGAAAATACAACAATAATTTGTCTTTCAAATTATAAACGTATTTACATCATACTGCCTACATATATTGCAGATTGCAGGGAGGAAGGAATACTACTTTGCCAGCCTCATATCCTCTTAAGTCACTTACCTGCTGTGTAACCCTGCTTAACTACTTACAGTTCCAAGGCAGATCTGTGCACACCACACTCCGACCTTTATTTAGCTCGTGAATTCTATTGATCTCCAGTTCATTCTTTAAGAATCAATTCTACTATGAAGGTTTTCTCCCCATTCAATCTGGCCCCTGCCCTGGGGTAGAATTAAACACTCCCTATTCTATAAGGGGAGAAGCCCTGGTAAGCAGTGCTTAAGTGCTTGGCTGCTAACCAAAGGTCAGTGGTTTGAACCTACCAGCCACTCTGTGGGACAAAGATGTGACAGTCTGCTTCTGTAAAGATTTACAGCCTTGGAAACCCTGTAGAGCAGTTCTACTCTGTCCAGTAGGGTTGCTATGAGTCTGAATTGACTCAACAGCAAAGAGTTCGATTTCTTTTTTATTCTATAAGGAGCTCTGTGCTAGGCTGCTAACCAAAAGGTCAGTGATTCGAACCCATTAGTGTCTCTGCGGAGAAAAGAGCTGGTGATCTGCTCCCATAAAGATTACAACCTAGGAAACCCTATGGGGCAATTCTACTGTGTCATATAGGGCCGCTTTGAGTCGGAACTGACCAGATGGCACACAACACCATTCTTTCTACAGAGAATAATTTATTCATCTGTGTATGCTCCCCCCAACTTTAGATTACTAAATGACAGGAATGACACTGTCTCATTTTTTGTACCCCGCTATGGTTAACAAAGAGCTTGGCACTTAGTGAGCTCTGAATAAATGTAGAATGAGTGAGATCTTATCTTCTCCACTGACTTTAGTTTCCACCTATAAATCTATCATCTCCACCTTGGAATCCTTTTCTGTATTTGAATTTCTTATTTCTGATTGTTTATTACACATTCCCACCTAGATTTTCCAGATTAAAAAAAGAAGTTGCATCAAGTCAATTCCGACTGTGGCAAGCTCCACAGGGTTTTTCAAGGCTGTGACCTTTAGAAAGCAGATCGTCAGGCCTTTCTTCTAACACATCTCTGGGTGGGTCTGAACCAACAACCTTTCAGTTAATAGTCAAGTGCTTAACCGTTTGTGCCACCCGGGGACTTCTTTCCAGATACAGCAAATTCAAAACCCACTGGTTCAAAAAGGAATTCATTTTGTCTCTCCAAAGTACTATCTATATTCTTTAGCTTGATTCATGAAATCATAATGTACCCAGTTGTCCAAGTTTTAAAATCTCAGGATCATCACAAAAGGGGCTAGACCACTTCCTTACCTGAAATCTTTTAAAGGTTACAGGATATTTATGACCTGAAGTTCCAACATCTAATACAGTATTCAAATCACTTTATGATCTAACACCCTCCTGCCCCCATCTCTGTTGATTAGTCTCATTCATCTCCTACCCACCTTCCCACATATCTCTGCTACACTTATTAACGCCACCAGAGTTGTGAGAAACTAATAAAATGAAGTAAAAGTGCTCTGGAAACTATGAAGTCCTCTACAAATGTTAGTATTATCCTTATCTATCAGTCAAAACCCAGCTTGAAGTATCTTCCTCTGTGAGGCCTTCTCGTATATGCCTTCTGTAATGTCTCCTTTTTTACAACTCACACAGCACTGTAACTATACCTCTTTTCACAGCACTGAAGCAACATGAATAATCTATTCCATGAGATAAAAAGTTTTAGTAGTCTTAACTGTTATGTATCATGTTTTTAATATTTATTTCATCTTTGAATTTGTCCTCTAATAATGTATTCTTAGACTGACCAGACATGTGGGGGAAAAAAAAAATTCTGTGATAACTCACTGAACCTCACTTACATTGTAAACTTCCTATAGCAGTGTTCCATCCTTTGGTATAAATGTGAATCATATGTAAAAAAAAAAAAAAAAAAAAAATACAGATACCTCTATTTTTAAAAGTTCTACAAGTGATACTGATGCACATCAAATATTGAAAATTAGTGTTCTATAGCAGAGTTTGTTTTTTTATTCCTTTTTTAGGCAGGAGTAGAGGTTAACTTTGACAGTGTATTTGGATGACATTTTACTGTTTAATGATGCTACAAATGCAGTTAGCAAAATAAACATGAAATAAAAAAGAAAAAAAAAACCCTCAGATACAATGCTGCCAACTTTATATCATGGTAATATGATCACTAAATGGTCATACATCTAATGATGTGGTAATGAATGTGATAAACACATAAATACCTAAGAAAATTTTAAAATATATTATTTAATGGATGCCTCCTTATATGTTTAAACATAACCCACATAAAGATTCAGTTAAATAGAGCTACCTAAGTAAGTTCCTTTTCTGTTTCCTGTCTTTGTATTCAGGTTGTTAATATTTTGGGGGAAAAGTTAAAGGATCTGCAGAATCCACTTTCATGTCTATGTAAGACTATTATGTAGAACTGTATTCAATTGCAAGTGGCCCCAAAAATACTTAATTGAGGACTAATTTTTTAAAAACAAGTAATGGTTTTTTACACTTACTTCAAATAAACACTTTAAAAACTTGTCCTTAGGTTTCAAAAAGTAAGACTTTTTAACATAATGCTTCAGAATTCTTTTTGCATAAACACCAGACTTAAAACTGTGAACTAAGCTTCTCTATGATTTTGAGCAGATATTACCTATAAGATATATAAAATTTCATTTGCAAATGAGTTAAGAGTCTACAAATGGGACTTAGTATAATGTTAAACCTGACAAACTTAATTATAAGAAAAAAAGTAATAGCTTCTTATGGAAGCAATCATCCCCAAATTAAATTTTAAATGACAATAATTTTTTTTTTCTTTTTTCATTTATATTACTTATGTATACTCTGTATCATTTTGGGAGCTTGGGGGCAGGGGCAGCGGGGAGGAAAGGATGTAATATCTTGAGAATGCAGACTTAAAATCCTCCCCTTCAATTTTATAATCAAATAAATTTTTTGAAAGAGATTCAAGTTTCAGTGAACTGTCATTTAAATTTAATTTAAAATGCAAGGGATAAATATATCCTATTTACCTCATCTTTAATGATTTTCATGAAAGGAAATATGACTCTCACATTAGTTGCTGTTCTTAAAAGCTGGTAGCATTGATCTACAAAAACTTGTTTTGAAGGATTAGACTTAAGCTGTAGTTTACTCCATATGAAAATCAACTCCCTGTAAATGAGAAAAAAAGAGAAATATCAAAAATACAGTTTATTCAAATACAGACATTAGCTACCTTTTCTTGGTTCTATGGTACCCTGGCTGGGATGTATACAAGGTGAGTATAAGTGGGTATTAGGTAACCTCCATGCTATGTCTGCTATCCACATGAAACTAATAGAAGCTGGCAGAAAAAGAGATCAGGAATTGTAATTTTGCAGTGGTAAGGAATGAATTCCAATCATATGCTGGTATGCCTAAAAGATCTCTAATAATTGATCAAAACAGAAATTCTAATCTCAGTGCACCAATATTAATTATATTACTTCGAAACAAAATAAAACAAAACTTTTGGCCTTTAATATCTTCTTTGCAACTTTAGAAATCAATGTAGATTTTCTGCAAAAAAAGAAATGGTTCATTTTTTTTTTCATTTTCATCTATTAAGATACCAAATTTAGATTAAAAGTGTAAGTATATCATAGTATTGTTCTAAAACAATGTATACAACATGAAATTTTATGTTTAAGATCATCTGCTCTTTCACTAAGATACAGTACTTTTAAACAGACAAACTATGGATCCTTTAAAGTATTTTATAAGTAGATTCTTTTCTAAAGTATGATAAGGTTACACTGGATGGACAAAGCTAGGAGCAGTAGTGGGTTTTGAGGCAGGGACAGATCTTAAGATATAATTGATACATTTGGGTATCACATTTTAGCAAACTAAAATTCTTTAAAACTTGTCATAAATGTTATATAAAGCATCAGAATCTAAAACTCTTGAAATAATTGATGAAAATGTTAAAAAAAAAAAAAAAAAGATTTACTGAGTATGTTCTTTGAGCCTAGTACCTACAAGTATTAAAGTTAAGGACAGCTTGACTACTGTCATGAAGGCGTGCATAGTCTACTTGGGACGACAATACAGAAAACACAAAACAGAAAATGACTGCAAGCGACATATAAAAAGTAAAACCAAAATTTCACCTCCATTTTGTACGAGCTGTGTGGATGTTCCTTAAGTTTCTGTCCACCGCTCACTTTTTTTCTGCACACATACTCTCTTAGGAAACTCACCGTGTTTCACACCTTCCTCCCAAATCTTTAGCTCTGACTTCTTTCCAAATTTCCATGCCTGAGTATTTCAATTTAGACTTCTATCACCTTAATCTACTTTAAAATAATCATATTCCTGCAAAATTGTCTTTTCCTAGATCAGTCCGTGACACTAACATTCCTCTAACCTGTTTGGTTCTAACCTTTTCCCATTGTCTTTATATTTCTATTATATTTTTGTGGGCAACATATCATTCTTTCCCAGTGCTACCATCTTAATTTAGGCCCTTTAATTTTACATATGTACTTGTACAGTGGTTGCTAACTGATCTGTTTTCAGTGTCCCTGATCATTTCATTTATGCTTATTTCAATATATGATATAGTGTTAGTAGCATTAAAAACCTGGGTTTTACAGTCAGAAGAATAAGAATTTGAATCCTGGGTACTCTTTAGGTTGGTCTCTAACTCAGTCAGTTAATGTGCTTCATTTATGCTCACTTTTGTTTATGCTGATTGCTCTATTTCAAAAATACTTTTTATTCTTTAAGATGAGTTTATCTTTTAAACCCCATATCAAGTGCTCAAGTGCCTCATCTTCATGAAATACTTTTATGAATACTGCCAAGCTAAAGTGATACCTATTTCAGGATAGATCTTAACCCTTTGATGGATTCATATACTGCCTTGTCTATATTGGTATAGGTACTGTTTCCCCAACTATTAATACATGGTCAATCTCCTTGATGACACCATTATATAGTGGAGACAGTGACAAGAACTTGGGATTGGGAATCACTAATTGGAGGGGCAATACCTAGCTCACAGTGAGCCACCCTTCTTTGGGAATAGCCCTAATACAAAGGAGTAGAACTCAAGTGGCCATGGCTCCTATTTGATCCTCCCTTCCTCCTTCCCAAGCCCACTAAGGATAATGATTCAGGAGTGGAAAACTGACTCCACTCAGGCCAGTCAGAGTCCCTGGGACGGTCTAAACTCTATAAACTATGAAGCTCGGGGACTGCTGGTGTTCCTGCTGGTCTGTAGAAAGAGAGGCTGCAGTCAACTGGCACAGAAGAGACATAAGATATTTTAAAAAACCCTAGTAGCCTCAGTGTCCCTGGTAGCAGTTGTCCTTGAGACCCAACTGCATCCCTACCCTTCCTGTGGTCCATGTGATACCCAGTAGCCTTTCAAAAATACTACCTCTTCCCTACACTGACTGGTATAAATTCTATCTTGTACTAACTGTGTATCACTCATCTGTTTAACCCACAGCTTTCTTAAATATGAAAGTGAGGATTAGTCCTATCCAACATCTCATCTCCATTATAAGAACTGAGAGAGATAAGATAGAGGAAGGCACCTAGGTGAAACATCTGGCTTATAGTGGGTGTTTAATAAATGGCTAGTTTCCTACATTGTTTCATTGTCTGTGTAATCTTCATAATTCCAAGAAGTGGAGTTTATTCAATAAATATTTGTTAATTTATAATTTGGCATAAATTATATTCCTAAATACTGAAGGTACGTAGAGGAAGCCTCTTGAGGAAATGAGTTTTAAGAAGATCTTAAAGGAAATTATAGGCATGGAGTAAGATAAAAAATAATGGTGGACATTCTAAATAAGGAGTATTTTATAAACTAAGAAACATGGGCATGGAAGAAGGCAAACAGATCAACTATATTAAAGAAGATGTGGCATATCCAACAGATTTAAAGACAGAAAATGACAGTTAGAAATCATGGGAAAGATATTCCATGTAATATTATGCAAACAAATATTTAATATATTGTTGTTAAGTGCCACTGAGTCAATTCCGACTCACAGCGACCCTATAGGACAGAGCAGAACTGCCTTATAAAGTTTCCAAGGAGCAGCTGGTGATTCTAACTGCCGACCTTTTGGTTAGTAGCCAAGCTCTTAACCACCGCAAGACATTTATTTATTCTCTAACTTATTCCAAAAAATAATTTGAAGGGTGCCATATGCTTTTTTTTTTTTTGGAGAGAGAAATTTTATTTTCTGTCTCTGTTAAGTCAGGGCAAAGCTTGGTAAACAAAATGTACATTCCAAGATCCTACTAAGTTTGCCAGGAGAGGAATACCAATATGGATTTTGGCTTCTATCAGGCAAAGAGGAAATCTCAGGATATGGTTATGAAGCTCCATTTTGATTAAATTTACAAAATAGGGGTTTTGCTTGAACACTGGATTTTGCAGGCAAAAACAAAACAAAAAACTGAAAATTGCTGATATTCTTTGAGAAAACCAAAAAGGCAGGTTTAATAAAGCTTACACTCTCTTTTAATCAAACAGAGTCCTTTATAAAAAAAACAGCACTCATCCAGTATACAAATAAATGTATTAGGTAGCTAGCTAGCAAAGATTAACTACTAATACAATCATCAAGTTATCTACTTGTTGAAAACAGGCTATAACAGAGTGGACAGCCACCCCCATAACCCAGTTTTTCATATCTGACCCATTTATGCTAAGTATCACTTAATAGTAAAGCCTGTGAGTCAGGCTGCCTGAGTTTGAATCCTCGGCTCTATTATTTACTAGCTGAATGGTTTGGGCATACTAATATTATCTACCCCACAAGATTGTTGGATTAAAATGAGATAATGCACGTAAAAAGCACAGAATATAGGAAGTACTTAGCAACATTGGCAGCCGCTATTATTACTAATGATAGTAGTAGTAATAGTAGTAGTGATGGTGAAAGAAAAATGGAGTTAGTAGCTTGCTCCACTGGCTTAAGAGAAAAACTGTACAGTATATCAAAGTTCTGTCCACAAAAAGAGGATGATGAAGGGCAAACTAGTTCATACGGAAAGCCAAGATGAAACAGAGAACACAAACTTTGTAGGATGAAAACTATCAGTGAAAATCAACTTTTAGAACCAAGAAAAAAAGACTGCAGCATTCAGAAATAGAGAGGAGAGGTAGAAAAAATAAGAGGGCAGGCCATCAAAAACCAACTTACTCAAAAGAAAGGGCAAAAAAGCAAGCTAAGGGCTCCTTTCTGGTTAGTCAGCTAGAGTCACACAGTTTCTATTCTTAGAGGTTACTGTGGCCAGGATCCAGAAGATAGGCATTGTTCTATTTTTAAGGTCCCTCTCTAAAGACTGGAAACCCTGGTGGCATAGTGGTTAAGAGCTATGGCTGCTAACCAAAAGGTCGGCAGTTCGAATCCACCAGGCACTCCCTGGAAACCATATGGGGCAATTCTACTCTGTCCTATAGGGTCACTACGATTCGGAATCGACTCGACAGCAATGGGTTTTTTTTTTTTTTTTTTTTTTGGTCTCTAAAGACTAGAAATTAATTAACCAAGAGAAGAAAATAATACATTTTTTTAAACACTTGACTCTAGTTTGCTTATGAGAATATTAAAATGAAAAGACTAAAGATGCCCTGTTTAAGTGTCTTTAATATAGCCAAGGAGCAGAGAACATTCCTACCCACACAGGAAAGGATCTATTACAATACTTGTGACTATATTCCATTTCAGAATAACTACATATCAAAAAATGTTAATACTCTAAAAATTATTTAAAAGTGTACGTCTTACCACCATCTCCTGATCCTCTCCCTTCCACTTGAAATTCCAATTTACATGGTAACATAATAAAAATTAGCATAATCTAACTAAAAGTATACTTCCCTAGAAAAGTTTACTTGTTTCTAGACCCAGCTGTGCTACTAATTCAGCTATTTGACTCTATCTGAGTCTGAAGATTTTAATCTATACAATAAGAATACTGAGTGAGTTTATCTTTAAACTTTCCAATTATGAAGCTATTATTTAAGTATAGCTTTAAAAATTAAAAGTATGAATTAAAAAGATGTTTATAGCCTATGATGATTTCAGATTATTATGTCTGACAAATGAAATCTAGTTTTCCCTTAAGAATTAATGGAACATCAAAGTGGTAGGTATTTTGTGTGAATGTGTATTTTTAGGGAAGAGGAGGGAAGCTGAAGGTGTTAGAATCTTTTATAATTATTACTCATGATGTTGCCTAATAACACTTAAAGGGCAGGTACTAATTAAAAACACTCTCACACCATATTATATCATGGTTGTTAGGTTAACTTGCTGCTTTGTATATCCTACCAACATCTTTTAAATAGTTTTTTATATGTTTAAAAAATTAAAATTTAAGATTTAATTTTAAACATGATTGTTTAATTATAAAACACATACATTAAACATCTGTGCTATCAATTGGTGGTACACAGTAATTTTCTTTTTTAAATCATGAGTTCTTAGAGCCTGTTATTGTTCCTTGCATAATAAAGCTTAAAAAAAGAAAAGTGGCTTAACATTTTCATACAACTTTTTAAAAAATATAAAGTCCAAACTCTGCTAATCAATTCTCCTTCTGTTCTCCATCTTACCATTTCAATTTTTGCATTAGGAACACTTACCAGATATAGTACATATCTCCATTCTGGAGCTGTGAAATAAGAAAGGATTCACAGAGTTGCAAGGCTAACATAGTCTTGCCTTCTTTTTCAGTATTACAGATGATATCAATTCCACTCCTACAATCAGTTTTCAATAAATGCTATAAAAGGAAAAGAAAATTTTTATCATTAAAAATATCTAAAAAGCTAGTTGCAATACATGCTTAGATATTCAGAAGAAATTACTTAGATATCTAGTTTTCTTCCATAAAAACAATGATGAATTGTATAGAAATATTTTCATGGTTTCACAGTTTCACTGTAGAGCACCTGCAGTTTATAATGACCCTTTTAATATCATTTAATGTCCATAACCTGTAGATAAGTAGGGTTTATTTTAAGGGGGAGGGGGACCCTTTCATCTTAAAAAGGCAAAATAACATGAACATTTAATTTCTTAGTATTTAATTTAAAAAGCAAAATCATAATGCCTCTCACTTTTTATTTACCTCCTTTCTGTCACACCAAAAGTTCAACATGAATGATGCTTACTACTAAGGAGTATGTTGTTAATTTCATCATTTGTTAATATCAGGTTATGTCTAATTCAACATGTACTTAAAGAATGGTGCCAAAAGAGAACATCTAGATAATGTAATCTGAAGATCTATATATTACTGTAAAAGGGATTTAACAGCAAGAATGGACTAATTCTTTTTTTAATGTAGGGCTGGAATAGTAATAGGCAGAAAATACCATCAAACAATACCTCCTGGAATAGCTGATCTTCTACAGGTGACATAAACAGACATGTGAAGAGTGCTTGATGGAAGTACAAGTCTTTACTGATTTCTGGGTGATTTATACAAGATTTAATAAGAGCCATTGCTTCTGGTATGCGTTCACAAGCAATTAGGTATCTGGCACGTAGTTCAAAGAACAGTGGGTTTTCAGAACTTAAATATTTGTTCACTATATTAAAAGGAAGACAGACTGTATTACTTTCAAGATCCTCTCAAATGTTAAAAGATTGTTATTTAAAACTTTACCACTAAAATATGGTATCTAATTAGATTAGTAGTTAATTTAATGAAATAACATCATCCTTAGTAGGAATTTATGTTTGAAAACAATAAGGGAAAATCAGAGCTACACCAAAACAGTGCTCCAGAAATACTGATTTCTTCTCAGTCTAAAAAATAAATACCGAACGTAATAAAAGAAAAAAACCCAAAGTTTTCTTCTACTTCAGTTCACTAATATGTTAAAATATATTTCAGATAACATAGGGTCTGGAATTTCTTTCTATATACTTTATCTACTCACTGCCCAATATTTTTATTACAATAAAACATGAAGGGTGAATCCTAATTTGTCATATTAAAACCACATTAATTCAGATTAATTATACAGAAAAATAATCTGAATGAGAAAACTGAATCATAAAAGAAACACAGTATATTACTTTTTAGAACAAAAGCCAAAAATGGTGTCAAATAAGACTGCTTATTAACATATGCTTATATATCATTAAGGATGATTACTAATTAATAATTATTTTTACACAATTTTAAAATATATAAACACTTTATCTATGTAAGTTTATTTATACAACAACCTTAGGCAGGTATTACAATATTGGTTTTACAGATCACAAAACTGAGTCTCAGAGAGGTCAAATGACTTGCCCAAGGACACAGAATTAGTTAAGTGGCAGAACAAGAACTAAAACACGTGTATCTTAGGACTTTTTAATCCAGTAGTGTTATTAATTGCTTGAGTGTGCTAAATCAGCAGCTTCTAAAATGCTTATGTGTAATATTTTATTTGCCTTGCAAATCTGTTTATAATATATGATAAGCAAACACTGATCTGTATAGTTAGCGCAGAGATAAACTGCAGCCTGGTCTTTACCTTAATGAATACCAACTAGAGAGATGTCATCCATATTAATGAGGCTCTGGAGCAGCTTTTCCCAAAGTGATGTATGCAAATGTACATATGAAAGGAGTATATTTTATTTTAGCATGTTTTCCGACCTAATAGGCCAACAGCCTGCAAGCCAACTCACCCTAACAGGCTTGTTCTAGCTTCTACTTAGAGAGCCTAAAAGTTCTCCTAAAAGCCCAAACTTCCCTTCTCTGCCATCCTCACTCCTTTTGAAGTTCTTTGTCCAGCTCCTCAAACCTCTGTATTGCCACACGGCCACACTTCCCAATCTCAGTTTCCTCCAGTCTGTCACCCCTATCTTTGGTTCTTCATACTTTTCCTCAATAATGCAACTCTTTCTCCTCAGCTCCAACTACCCCCTCTTCCATTTTTTATCCCTTTCCAAGACCCACATATCGAGTGCAAGTCTCCTTTGTATCCCTTGGTTTTTCTATACCAGTGCAAATATATGTTAGCCCTCTCCTCCTAGTCTTGTCCTCACTGCCCCCCGCCCCCCATCCCAGTTCACAACTTTGCATTGCTTCTTCTGGTCCTATCTCTTACTTCATTCTTTCTTATATCTCTATCACAGTCTTCACACTTGTATCTGGAGCTTGCTTGATCTTAAGCCCCAGAATCATAGCCCCTTCTCCACTTACGTCCACTTACAACCCACCCCTTAGCCTGGGACAAATGGTAAAATCTTGACCTGCCCACAGTTTGTAGTATGAAGTGTCTCTCTCACCAGACCAAGACCTGACTGGTTCCTGGGCTTTGAAGTCTTGTCTTTTCCCTTTGGCTGTCTTAGGACTGCACTCCATAGGCTCTCTCCACACTTTTGTGGTCATTCACTATTACTGAGCTCACCTTTAAGTTTTGGGGACACAAAATGTTCTGGGGCTCAGGAATAATACAGGAAACTTAAACAAATTTAACTAGAGGCACCTGGCAGAGCTTTCTGCCTCAAAAGAAATTTTGGTCCACAAGGGAACACTATGGATCTGAATTTAACAGAAGGTAACGTCAAAGAAATACGCACTTGATAAGGGATGAGACAAAACTTAACTTCTATTAGTGAACGAAGTTTGGGAAGCACTGCTGTGGAATATTAGAATTGAAGTTTATTTATTCATTCAATTAGTTATTCATCTACTTGTGCATTCATCATGTGGTCATTCATTCATTCATTCGACAAATACTTATATTGAGCGCCTACTCTGTACCAAGCACTGAGCTAGGTGTAGGGCATGCAACAGTGGTAACCAAAATTAAAGGCACTCTAGCCCTCATGAGGTTTCCTGTGTAGGGAACATTCCACATGCGTCCATGAAAAACAATTTTTTAAGGTGTTCCTACTTAAAACATTTAAAAAACATAAATGAAGTGACAAAAAGCACTCCCTGTAAATAAGTAACATACAATACTAACGTTCAGGATTTCCATTAACCAGAAATAAATGTCCCTAGTCTGGTGGCAAAAATCATTCTTGGGCCTGGTTAGTACAACAGATTAAACACACTTCATGAGAAAATACAGCACTCCATTATTCAATATTATAAAATAAGAAAAATCACTATGACTGCTCTAGTTAGAAAATGAAATTGTGTTTGCTTCTCACAAATGCTGGTTTTGATTTTGAAGCTCCTGAAGTACCTATCTCCTGAGATGCTGGCTGGGCTTTAAGAACAGCTTGCAACACTGGATCTTCCCATGGGCCACCATCTCTAATGATTCGAGTCACCAGTTCCAGATTCACATTTCCATATCTGCGGAGGTGATTCTGGCATTCCTAGGAGAGAAAAATCATTTTGGCTTTGTGAATTTAAAGGGGTTAAAAACTAAACTTTGATCATCACTGTCAATAAAATGACTGATGGTCAATGAGGCAGCTACTAAATTATAAAAGATAAAGGGTTATAATTGTAACCTAAGTAGGGTGTCAAAACCCCATTAGTACACAAATAGGCTTTAATGCCAAAGGTTACACAGTATGTGCAAAATTGGACTTAGAAAATCTCATTATAACAGGGATAAAGTGTAACCTAAGGGAAAAACTTAAGGGATGCATCATTTTTAGGAAAAGAAACAGGTTACAAAAAAATGAAACTTTAATGTTCAGTTAAATTTACATGAGGGTTCATACAGTTCCTGTTAACACAGCAGGCAAGAGCCTTACAATAAGAAGAAAGGGGATTGGAGCTTCCTTTCAATACGCAGACTCTAGTCTTAACAGGTAGCCTACAGGAAGGGCCTCCTGTGCTGATCTCAAATATGTAACCTCAGCTGTGGTAGAAGGCTGGACATGGCAATTCTGTTTTCCTTGGTTGGGTGAGTAGATCTGTATGTAGTCTTGGCATGAAAAAATGAAAGTTTGAAGAAATGAACCTAACCTATGATATGAACACTTTGTATTAGGTTTAAAAGATAAAGATAATGTTGGTAAGCTGAGTAATAACTGCGATCATTTGTCTATGCATTTCCTGGTTTTTTTTAAAAGATGTTTGAAATGTTTTTTAGAGAATTTGCTATCATAGCCTTGTGATTATAATATGAAATAAATAACAGAAGTTTGTAAACAATGTTTAATATGTAGGAGAATTTAGTTTACTGAATTTATACAATCTGATTTATTAGATTTACAAGAGTTGTTTAATTGTTGATTTTGCTTTTTTGATTTGTTATATATTCTTTGTTGGAGCCTTGGTGGCATAGCAGTTAAAGAGTTTGGCTGCTGACTGAAAGGTCAGCAGCTTGAATCCACCAGCTGCTCCCTGGAAACCCTATGGGACAGTTCCACCCTGTCCTATAGGGTCGCTATGCATCAAAATAGACTCAAAGGCAACAGGGTTTAGGTGCTTTTTTTTTTTGTTTTTTTTTTTAATTCTTTGTTAGGTGTTGGTTCTTAAAATGTTTCAGGGAATTTAATTTGGCAATTTAAAAAGATTGTACTGCACAATAACTAAAGGCTTTGTGAAGGTATAAACAGATTTATAAGAAATGAATAAAGTATATAAGTTGATCTTAAAGCCTTAAGAAAAAAACTAGATATTGAAGTTGACATTACTAAAAATGTAAACATTAATTGTATATCAATTAAAACACAAATAATTGCTAGAGTTTTTCCATGCTGGAAAAAAAAAAAAAATCCCTCAGACATTAAAAAACTTAGCAACAGTTACAAAAAACAGCTTCAGGACTGAAAAAAAAAAACCTTAAAATTTTACTTATCAGGTGAATCATCAGGTTACATATTTAAAGTGGCAATAAACACTTAAGCTTTCATTTAATTGTCTTAAAAAATAACTTCTACATGCCACTTTGAATTCCTTGTTAGAATACACATAACCTAAAAGAGGAGGTTTTATTGGTTTTATAAGAAAATAAGGCAATAGATGAAATCAAGCTTCAGGATAAAGCATCATTAAGTCAAATAACTGATAACCAAAACATCATGAAAAGAAGTATCTTCTAAAAGTTATTTTGGGAGTTGCAAGGGAAAACCCTATAAACAATGGGTAAGTTACTTCTCTGTACTGTTTCAGTTAACTCCTCCTCCTCCTTTCAGAATCCGTTATGAAGTGGGATACAAAAAAAACACCTACTTCATAGGATTGTTGTGAGGATTAAATAATACATAGTATTGAAAAGGGCTTGGAATAATGCCTGGCACATAGTAAGCACTCAATAAATGTTAGCTAGTATTTCTTCTATTATTTTTTAACATTTAGAGTAAACATTTATTTTAGGACACCCAACTGCCTTAGCATAAAATTAATTTCTGGATTTTCTCATGCCAGCATGTTACAGCATTCATAAAAATAAGGTAAGTGTAAAGTAATGATCAGCAATGTTTTTTTATGTGGAACATGCAACAATAACTTCTTGCTTGAAAACAACCATCAATTTCAAACCTCAAGGTAAGAAAATCCCAAATTATTCTAGACACACATATTGCTGCCCCTAAAAATTAAACTACTGTAAGTTGGATTTTGATCCAATCAAAGCACAAGAAAAAGGTGAGCTGCAAGTTAGCCACTGAGTCACTACTGAGCTTAGCTCTGCAGCTGAGTCCTTGGACAATCCATCTATCCTGCTGTCAAAGGGTAGGTGAGGCACCAATCATATGCAGTGGGACTTGGAACTGGATTTAGGCCTAAGTTATGATGATGAAGATATGTTTCCTAAACTTGGCTGAAGAAACACTTTGAGGTTTTGTTAAAAATCAAATTTCCGAACCCCAATTCAGTCCTACTGAATCAGAATTTCTAGGGGAAAGCACTGGTAATCTGTATATTTAACAACCCCACAGGCAACTTTGGGAAACTTTTTTGATTGTACCCCCACATTGAGTGCAAATTTCCAATAAATCCTTATTTTGTAAATTATATGCATGTGCTCCTGTCAATCCTTCTATTATAAATTAGTAAATTAGCTTAGTATCATTTTTTTAAGATAAAAATTAATTAAAAGTAGAAGTGCCGATTGTGTGTACACTTCTTGGGTCAAGTACACCATATTCTGGAGATCACTACTATGGGAAATAGCCCTGGACAGAAAATAAAAGTGATGTAAGTATTTCATTTTGGTCTCTAAAAAGAGCAGGATGTAAGAGAACTTAATAGCTTGAAAGTATGTTTTGCCTCCTCCTCCCTTAAATAGTATGGTGGCTTTTTGGATGACACCCATTCAAGGTGAATAAGGAAACAAATCACTTTAGAATTGACAACTTATCTAAGTGCATATAAACGTTGTGTGTGTTTGTATATATATATATAGAATATTTAAATAATGTTTAAAATTGGAACTGTATATTAACTTAATCCTTTATTAAGTCATCTACTATCATTGATACTCACTGATCATTGATACCCTGCACTGTGCTAAATATAATCCCAACAGATACTTCCATCCAACCTTGTATCTTTGCCAAAGATACAGGTAAAACAGAACCTCTTTTCTCACTCATCTTTCAGAATCCATTGCTGAGTAGGCATAATGTTTTGTTCTAGAAAAAAGATTTCTCTTCCCTGAACTGATGGCCACTTTAGAGCTGTCACTACAACATGTGTCTGTGAAGCTGTAGACCAGTGTTCTTGTGATTCCATGTACTTGATCTGACACCTTCAGCAGCTTATCATAGGATGAAAGTCTCAATGCCTAAACCTGGTATTTTAGGACTTCTGTAATCAACCCCTACCCAGCTTTTCCAACCTCATTCATCTGTTGCACATCATGAGTCCTTATCTCCAGCCTGATCTCTTCCACATCATTCAAACTCACCTTGTATTTTCCTTCATATGCCTTTTCTTATATCATTTGCTTTCTCCTAGAACTTCCTGTAAACCTATCTGAACCCTATATTTCCAATCCCACTTTCCCTGAGAGGTCTCCACTAGCTACCTTAACCCATAATAAAATTCCTTCTCCTGCTATATTGAAAATCTGCATCAGTTCACTCTTCTGGTGCTTATCATAAAAAAGGGTCTTGCATTATTAGTTATCTTAAGTGCTGACATCTTACTTCTTAAGTAGCTGAAAGTGTCTTCAAAAAAAAAAAAAACCCAGGAAAGGAAAGATGTACCAGAGAAAATAAATTCTTAATAATAAAAATCTTCTTTTAATCAAAATAGGGTTTTATGTAAATCTGTGTAAGTGAAAGCACTATAGAACATGTGTCTTATTTTAAACGAAATATATATTACAGAGTGAAGTCATATAGACCACATATTAAATTTATTCATAAGCTATTGCAGCAAATCAAAGCAAAAATGTAAATTTAAAAAAAAAAAATGCCTTTAAAAGACAGCAAAAACTTTACAGTACAGGCAGTCCATGACTAACAATGTATTCAAATTACGACGAACCGCACTTAGGACAATCCCTTTTTTGGGTTTTTTTTTAAATGATTTGTATATTTTTTTATGTATGGGTATATGCATTAAAATCTATCTGCAAGCTTATATGTAATGTTCCAACCCCCAAAGACAAGTAAAGATCAGATTTATAAAGATACTGATAATAAAAGGCAATATTAATGAGAACTAAAAAAAATGAGGTATTCTACTTATGTCAGAACCGACTTACGACGTAGTCATCAGAATGGAACCCCGTCGTAAGTCAGGGACTACCTGTACTGTGAAATGAGATGAAAATGATCATGAATATTTTTTATCACAGTTTCACTGTTACCTTATGACAATGCACTTCAAAAAGTTGTCAAATTTAAAGATGTTATGCATTTTTCTTTTACAAAAGCTTTAAGTATCCCCAAATTGCTGTCCTTTTCTATAATAAGCTAAGGAGTATTTACCTGATGTATTTTTTTTAAGCATTCTGAATTTGCCCATTTAAAGTAAAGGTGACAAAAAGGTACTGCTTTTCAAAATAAAGTTCTTAGTGGAGAAAATCATTTGAAATGAACGTTTAGAAGTGTTTGCATCATTACATGATTGTTTTGCCAAAAACCAATGTGTCACCTATAATGGTCATATCTAGACCTTTTAAAAACTTAAACCAGAATTTTCTGTTTAAAAATCTTTCAGCTAAAACACTTTAATGAGTCTTTAATCCACTTTTTAAAAATGATCACTCAGTGACTTCTGTAACAATACAAATTTAATTGTCAAATTTCAACAAAACCTTTTGCACAACTGGTAGAAGGGATTTAAAGCTGAATAGCATAATTTAGAAAATTTTTTCACTGGACCTACCAAAAGTATCTTTTTCAACTATGACAGCTATTAAAACAAAGCATCAGTGTACACCGAACTTAGAGTCAGACTTTGAATC